TTCGTCGTCGTTTGGTTGAGGCAAATATAGTCATGCTGCAACGGCTCTTGCGGCAGAAGACAGTGAGTAGGTTCTAATCGTCGAATTTTTGTAGTTTGCCTCAGTCCCCCCGCCCACCGCTGGACTGACCATTGGTAATCGGGGCGATGACCGAGCTGGTTTAATGTTCGATGACGGCAATACCATCAGGGGCTGGTGGCTAGGTTTTACGGAGACAACGCCAAGTCTCCAACCATTTTCCATTGTTATTCGAGCATGGAACCGGCAGCGGTGGAGTTGCGACATTTCATGTTCTGTTCTAAGCTACCGATGCAAGTAAAAATAACTCCGTTATTATAGATTATCATAGTTCCATTCATTCACAATAGATATTATTCTTTCTTTCGCGTCACGTTGTTTGTTCAGCTTGACTAATGGTTGATGACCGGAAGCAGATTGCTCATGTTATATTCAATGTGCTTCAAGCAACGGCATGGCTGTGAAAATGGAAAGAACGATTTGGTTCGCTGCTACAGTATTCTTTCTTACCAAAACAGTGATTGATCATTTTATTAAGCAATTCAGTGAGATTTCCTGTTCACCTTTATGACTGCCAGTGTTCGAAAGATCATCGTTTTCGAGTTCGAGCAATCAATGCAAACAATTGTAGGCCAAGCGATTTTGTGTTGCAATACCATTATTCAGCGTATATCGGACATGTTGCTCTCTCGCAACACTGATACCTCAAGTTTGATTATACGGAGGGCTCTGTGTTGGTCGAGTTTCGACGATTAGCTGAGTCACGTCAATGAATGGCGGTTGCCTTGAGAGCTACCGGGCTTTTATTTCGCATTGGGACAATGTCCTTCTCTTGTTCACACGGCTTTGGCAAAGGTGGTTGAACATTCATCATTTGTGGACTCTATGATCGATTTGAGGTATAAGAATGAACAGCCTTATGGGATTTAGTTTCTAAACTCGACCTACCTTGCTGATACTGAATCAAATTTCGCTCAGCTCGTGCATTGGCTTCGAATGGCAGTCAACCTCAGGGCTTTTCCTCAGTTTCCCGAAGTTTCGTTCACTGGCTTTCTTCCAATCATTAGGATTTGTCACCAGGAAAGCAAACCGTTTGATTACAGCACTGGTTATCGAATCAGCCAGGACTCTTTTCCATTCAAATGATCTGAAACCGGTGCACCGAAAACGTACTTCACAAAACTCTTCCAACAGTTGTTTGAATTTCATTTTAAATTTCCCTTGTCCTTGTTAGGGACACAATTCTGTGCTTGATTATTTCGGCAGGAGCATCTTTTTGGGCCACACGTACACCAGAGCAACCCATAACAGAGTAAACGATAAAAAGCAATTTACTAAACTAATTGTTTAGCGTAACCCAAGAACGACTTTTTGATCAGCCGTTTCTAGTGTAGACACAGAATTCCCTAAAATTCACCCACAACCCTTCGACCAGTAGATAAATCGCCAAGTATTATTAGTTGAAACGGTTCCATTCATTCTCTAACAACCGCCAACTGGTGAAACAAATTCTCCACAGTAGCATCCTCCTAAAAACGTAGCTTGTTCATCACAGGTTACAATATTCTTTAGTTTTTATGCAATTAGACTTGCGGACATTTATCAAAGACTTGTACTATGTGAAATATATCACTTGCATGCGCTTTCACTTTTAAATTGTGTACCCATGTAATTCTCCCTACCCCCTACCAGACGGATTTTCACCCTACTTCAGATTGTTATGAAATCATGTGAGCTCACGCATTCGGTTTACATATGTTTTACATACCTGGAGAAAGCCTATGACCAAATGCCACGCAATAACCTGTGGTCATGCCTGCGAGTATACGGGATTGATGGTCAGCTGCTACGGGCAGTCCATTCACTACACGCTGATGGCAGGTGCTGCGTCAGAGTTAATGGCGTTAAGCCGAATCCATTCAACGTTCGCACTGGTCTCTGCCAAGGCTGCTTCCTGTCCCCCATCCTGATTGTGTTGTACATGGATAGAATAGTCAGGAGCAGCCATGGTGATGAGTGAATCAGC